ACAAACAAATTATTTATTGACTTTAGTGATTTCATTCTACTCATTATTTGTATTTATTATAATTTATTTTTTATCATTACGAATTTTGCTGGCCATCATCATATAAACTGATATTTAAATATTTCATTTTTGATTTAGCAACTATTAATAATTACTCTAAACTATTTTATAAAGAGTGTTCGAATCTATTTAATCAAACTAATTACTGATATTGCCTATGGCGAGTACATCATTGAATCATTGATTGAAGATAATTGTATCTGTTATTGGCTCATTTTCATTTGACTTTCATTTGTATTTAAAACTTCATTTATCGAAAGTGACGATTACAGCTTTCGGCATTATGTTCCTTGTTAATGGTGTCGATGAAGCGAGAGGCAGTAAAATCCTGTTTGATTTATCCTTAAAGGACGTTTTCATTGCAAATCACATCTACTGCGCATTTATTTACTTTGCTAAGTAATTATGGCTTGGTTGGCTGTGCTGTAAGGCGCACTTGTGCCCATCATTAAACCGCCTCAAATGCGTACTTTCATCATAAAAATTTTATAATTTATAATTTTAAGCTATAAAAACTTGCATGTGGGACAAAAAGTAGCTTCATGGTTACTTAATTATTAATTATGCGTTATTTTGATGAAGTACAGTAATCGAAGCAAATTAAAAAATTAAAATCATAATTCTTGAGTCCCAGAGAAATTTATACATAAAAAACACATAAGATGATGGAAACATGTGGTTGGATAGAAATTAATTTACTACAGCTAAAATTCCCAAACAAATAAGTTACATCTTGAACTCTGGAAAAGGAATTTAAATGAAATAAAAACGCAAGATATGGCTCCTCGCCATGTTTAATAACATCTTTTCTTTCATAAGCGAATTAAATTCCATGCCTTATCATCTGCAATCATAAATTCGGTTCATGTAATGTCAGTGGGGTGTATAGAAACTCATTTTAGGAGGGTTTTTCGAGAGCAATTTGAAGTTCATCTCATTGAAACAAATCTATTATATTCCTATCTAGTGTAAAATGTTTTAAAATTTTTCAGGGGGGAGAAGGCGGACTGAGTCTTGTACCACAAAACTTTTTCTTGCATACGCTACTGTGTGAAGAAGTAGAGAACCGCTTAGGAATATCTAATTCAGCGCCTTGCAGTTTTAATTACTGGAAATTAACTTAAAAGGAACTTAAAATAGAAAAATGGTTTATTTACATTTAACAAAGAGAAAACTTAATTTAGCAGAAAATATTGTTGCCTTTGCATTAAAATGAGGAGGAATAATATTCTTAAATAGATTTTAAATTGGACATGAATAAACATGAGCTTTACTAAGCTTTAGGAATGAATAAAATATGATGAGCGACAGTAAAGACCATGCGAAATACTAGTAGAAGTAAATGTCTGAGGCTATGGACAGCGAGCTTTTCTCTTAACAGCAGAGTGAGTTTAAAATAGATGCAATTTTTTTTCATAATTTTTTTTTATTAGCAGAAACATAGTACGTAGCGTTTATACGCCCATTTTTTATTTCAAGTCATAATTTCTAATCTACGCCAAGCATTTATTGATATTCTTGTGATTTGCTGCGTTTACTGCTCTTTGGATAAAACTCATTAACTTTTCAGGTAATATCGAATTAAGGTACATATATCAAGTAATTCAGAAAATAAAAATTGGGAATAACTCTTATTATGTTTTAGATATTATTATTACTTAAAGGCTATATGAGTTAATTAGTGAAAGTATGCTTAGTTGGCTACAAAAAAAACTGAATCCATTTACTACAATGGCACACAAAATATTATTTATCAAATTTGATTTTTGAAGTTAATTATGATAAAAAGAAACCATGTTTCGTCCATTTGTCGGTCTTAAATTTTGGACTTCTCCAAAATGACTAACTGATACATCATCATTTGAAGATTTAGAGTTTTCATAAGATTCGTTCTCCATAGAAAAATATTCTGTCTGGAAACTTCAAAATTATTTCGGTAACAAGAGAAGTTATATTTTTTTAATATGGTATTTGACACTTAAATACTTGAACATTATTAAACAAATCTCTTCGAGAATAACTCTCTAAAGTTATTCCTCGATATGCTATTTGTCACTCATTAAATGCTGCGATAAGGTTAAGCAAAATACTTCTAGACTATCACAAGTAACAGTGTATTTCAAGTACTATTTGGCACTTATCGAATACGTTAATAATTTAAACCAAATATCTTGCTCATGTTTCCATTATCACTGTTTACCGTGATACTTCAAAGGAGACATCTCAATACAATGCTAAAATAGCTGGTATTCCTTGTTTTCTTAAAAATTTATTCCACATTCCAGATTGATAGAACTTTTTTTAGTAAATGAAGATTTTTTTTGAAAGTCCCAGAAAAAGTATAACTCCAGGCATTAAAGCTTTTAGCTTAAGATAATGAGAAAAAATTCTGACTGTACTTATGCGTTGCTAAGATACTATAAAATCGACTGTAATTTCAGTGTCACTGAAATAATACCGACTTAATCTGTATTAATAGACTCTTCGAACGGAAAACCATACCCGGCGCCATTTACATTTATCATTTAATTTTTTCACATAACTAATTTAATGAACCATATTCTATTTGAAGACATGTCTTCTGAGTAAACTTTACTTCGAAAAGAAGAGACTTTTTTGTTGTTAGGTAGTTAAATTTTCTGTTGGCTAGTAGATTTATATTAAGCATATAATATATGTATAAGAAGTTTTACAGCTTTAATGTAAGGATTTGTTCGCTATCTTCTAAATCGATTAATTTAATTTAAACATCCTCTGGAACAGTGTTTCTAAATGTGAGGCATACACTTCACAGAAGGCAAGTCGATTGTTATGGGAAGTAATTTGAAATTACATGTAAATTGACATTTTGGAATAATTATGACAAAGAAGTCTCGGCATTTACGAACTTCGCAAACTACGAGAACTGTATTAGGAAAAAGTTCGTTTTATATATGTTACGCAGAGGGAGATCAAAAATGGAGTAAACCACAAAAACGTTGAATAAAATTGTTCTAGAGAATTATTACATACTAAGATATTGTTGTATAGCACTTTAAATACATTTATTTATTTTTGATAAATCAAAATTTTTTAAGTTTATACTATTAGTTAGTTTACTATAGTTAAAGTTATATCAGACATTTATAAATACATGGAAATCTGAGTTTTAGTGTTTATCGAAGGGTACATTTTTTTTTTGTTTAGATCAAATTAATACAATAATAGATCAGATTAAATGACGTAATATTCGATATACAAATGCAGTTCATTAGCGTAAACATCCCATTTGAGTGAAACAGTTTAGTTTTAATATTACTCAGCATGTACCTCGAGCTGAAAATGTTGTTCTGGGCTTGTAGGATGCGCTGAGGTTCTTCCTTACGTATTAGTATACTTATCTCCTTTTGAGATCACTTCACTGCTTGATGTGATTATGTTTACCAAGGAGCAATAGGTGTTAGTACCGTCTAAGGATTCGCCGTTTATATTACGCTGTTTGTTGTTATTATGTTAGTATTGACTAATAGTCAATAATAATAATAATACAAAAGTTATATTTAGATTCAGTCATATTTCAATATTTAGATGAGGTCATACTTTTAATACCTTTAGATTCTCCTTCATGTTCTTATAATTATGTGTTAAGCATCAGTTATCGGTGACGTCAGTTCATACACGAAACCGTTTTATTTAATATACAAATAAATAAAAAATTTTGGTATTTTATTTTTATTTACTTGATTCTCTTTGAAAATGCTTTTGCTGCCATTATTGACCTTAATAACTTCAATACGTTACACAAACATTTGACTTACGGTGAAAATAAAATATTAATTACTTTTTATTTAAATAAAAATGATATTTTTTTGTTTGTTGATGCATTCAACAGCGTAGATCGTAGATATTATAAATTTAAATTAAAAAAAAAATTTTATTAAAAAACTGAATATATGAAATAAATTCACATTCAATCAATTAAGTTTTTAGTTGCATCGTACTTATTGTATTAAAATTGCACAGCTTTTGATTTTCGTACGATAGATTTTAAAGGCTAAAAATAATTTATTTCTGAAAATATTTTGCAGTTTTCATGAATTAATAAATTTGTTACTACAACAACTTCATCAGTGAACTGTTATAATTTAATTTGAAATTAAATTGCATTTGTTGTTGTTGTTGCATAAAAAGTATATTGACGCAAATGACAGGCAATATTCAAATTGATGGATTGATTATGCATTTGTTCAAAAAAATTGATTACAAATTGAGTTATGAGAAACTATAAAAACAATTCAGCAAACGCAGCTTTTTCGGTTATTGTTTGTCTTTAATAAATTGCATGTATTTGACTTAATTAAAAATTAAAGATATGCATATTTTTTTTGGAGATTTTCATATATATTTAATTCTATATCTTTTTTTTTTATTTGTAAATTGTTTTGTTTATGTTTTGCAACTAACAAATATTTTCATATTTGTGCAGCTAACGAAGTTATGCTTGCATTAAAAAATATAGCGCATACTCGCTTTCAATGTGGTAATTAATTACACACGAAATCCGTAAAATGTAACTCATACGCCACGTTGACCGAAAAACATTTACTGAATCGCAAACGGAATTTATTGAATTAAATATAAATTGACGAATGGTTAATACATTTTTTGTGTTAGTCTACAATTTCAGGCTTTTTATAATATTTCCGAATTATTTTGCGCAATTTCTGTCACAAGCAGCATCAATTGAATCATTTCGAATTCAATAAAGGTTTCATTTTTGTCGCACGGCATTTATGACCGCTTAACTGCCCGCACTCACTAACTAACACTTAAACTACAAATTTTAAAATATGTCCATAGTATACAAATAAAACAAAAAAAGACTGGGAAATATGAGTAGAAAGCAAAAAATAAAATGGAGAATCGGAAAGGTAAGTTTTATATTTCTATTTTTCACTTACGTATTACATTGAGATGATAAGCTATCGACTTTTTTGGCTCGGTATTTAGTTGACATTCATAGATGCCGGAGTCCCGTTGCTGTGGTGATTTAATATGCAGCATCCATTCACGTTGGTCCTTTGATATTGTTACCTGCAGAACAGTACGCAAGGTGGCAAGGAGAGAATAAGAAGAGTATATGTCAAACATAAATTAAAGTAAATGAAATATTTTAATGTAATAAAGCGAAATATTATTTATGCCCACTTTTCGATGTCATTGGGGAAAAGCAGAAATTAAAATTAAAATCAAACAAAAAAAAGAAAAAGGGTGGCAACGATTACATCGAATTATGTTGGCATTTAAATGAAATCGAGCACACTGACTACTGAAGCATAAATCCAATCAAGCAATTCCACTCAGCTCATCTTTAGCATTTACAATTAAATTAAATTAATGTTTGCCTTTAATGAAATATGGAGCAGCAGCAACAAGGAGTGATTATAGCGAATGTTACGGAAAGGCATTAAAGGGTTAAGTATTGACAAGAAATGGAACTGTTGTGAAGGAAATAAAGAAAAATGTGTGTGAGAAAAGAAAACCTACCTTGAAGCGCTGATCCGTTGTGTAAGTAGCAGAGCCTACTGTCAGAATATGCAGATCACGTTTACGTATCCAGGATACCTGCTTTCGAATATTGAATGTTGCACATATGTATGTGTACGCGTTGAAGTATGTTGCATACAAAATTAGTTTCGTTGTCAAGCAAATCACCAAACACCAGAAGTATTAGTTCGGAGGCAAAATACCGGGAAATAAAAACAAATACAATACATAGGCACTGTTATTAAGACACATAAGCATAGTTAATATAAACCTAATATGTACATTTGTATATATAAAAACATATAATAACGGAAACATTATATTGCTATTAAAGAAAGAATGTTTAAATAGTAAATCTTAAATTCTGCTTTGAAGTCCTTTTGGTAAATTATTAAGATATATATTAAGCTACGTATACCAAAGACAAAAGCTGAAGCTCATTTTGAGTTACAGTGTCAATGAAAAAGAAAATAATTCGCAGTAAGTGATTTGGCAAGACTAGTACTTACTAAATAACTAAAAAGTATAACTTTTATATCCTATAACTATCGTTTATATCTCTGAGTAGAAGATATAGCATTTCGATAAAAAAAAATAACAATTTTTAATAGCTAAGTAAATCCATATAACTGTGGTTTATACGTTAGTCCTGAAGTAAGCATAACGTAAGAAATATTAAATAATGCAAATTAAGTGAAATTTGGGTTTGTAAGCACGTGAATCTAAGGTTTATATTTGGCATGATTTAATTTTTGTCTTCACGTCATAAAATCATATATGGACAATCGAAATAATAGGTGCTTTCAAATGTTACTGAATCCATGGTTTCAATTTAAAATAGTTCAATTTCTGACAAGGGATTCAAAAATTATATACGGACAACCGAAATAATAGGTGTTTCCAGAAGTCACTAGTGTTGGATTGCTGGCGATATTTAAAACAACTGTGACCGTATAAATCAGGAATTCAATCGATTAAATAAATCAATTTATTGAAATTTGAATACACTTTATTTAATTTAATTAATCAATAAGTAGTTAAAATTGTAAATGGGTATGTCACTAGACATATATGTGTGGGTAATGATATCAACTAATCATTTATAGCTGACATCAGGTTTATTGAAAGTGGGAATGAAAGATTATATATGCGATTTTCATGTTTAGTTGCAATTTTAGACGTTTCATTTTTGATTGTTGGGACTCGGGACTACCTGTGTAATTAGTTGTTGGTTAAACACCAAATTAATACATTTAATTACAGTACATATTGAACGTTATGATTTAAATATTGTAAAATTACATTAAATTTGTCATTATATCGCAATAAACAATTTCTTTACATATTAATCAAATCAACATAATTCATTCAAGCAAGAAATAACTTAGTTGAAGTCCATTGCAAAAACCTAAAAAAAAGTACAGTGATGATAAAATGCCTGTTCTTGGTACTTTAACTATATTAGTAAAATCTGAAATTACACATCGGGAACAAACCTAAAATGGGGTCTCTAGTGTGGCATTTCACATCTTATCAATGACATCACATATCCTTCAATGCACATCTTCAATTTTAGGCCGAAAAACTTGATAATCAGCCGATTATTATGTATAGCACAGTATTGACTCGTCACAACTTCGTAGTACAAAACTATCACATCTTCAAAACAATAGACCAAATACCATACTGTATTTAAAAATGAGATGAAATGTATTTGGCCTATGGAAAAAGCCTAGAAAAAATTCTATAGGCATGATATAAATTATTCACTATCGTTATACTTAACTTACTAAACAAACACTGTTAAAATTTCAATCGAGTTACCTTTGATAATTTGTTATCTTCATATTATTATAAGAAAAATTTAATTTCATAAGAAATCATTTCATATATTTTTTACTTAGTTGTGTTTACCAAAAATTTGAAGTAAAAATTTTTAATAAAAATTTTTTAGTGAAGTACTTCAGATATCAAAATCAGTTAAAAAAAATTTGTGTTTTTGTGATTAAAATTAAAAGTCAATGGCAGAAAAAATGCAAAATGGAGCTGTGCTCCTTTTTGCATTACAAAAGTGCGGGGGCGCAGCCACCACACCCCAACTAATTGAGAAAATATGCGACCTCCTCAATGTAAGTAGAATAATCATTTAATTTCCTATCTATTAATAAAAGGTTATAAAAACCAAATGAATAAATTGCAAATGAATTAATTCTACTTCACATAACATTGTGGTCGATACCTACAAATATGATTAAAAAAATTAAACCTTAACTACAAAATGGTCGGAGTGACAAAGATACCTCACTTCTATTAGTCTTCGCCATTACAAAATTCCTTTAAAAAAAAAAACTAAAACAATTTTTTAAAAATTTTGACACTTAAGTCCAACAAAGCAAAAAAATTCACATTTTGATCAGAAAAATACTGAAAACGTATATTAACGTACATTTAGATATGAAATTTAGTGTTTCAATTAATATCTGTTTTATATCCTCCCAGTTTTTGTAAGGCTATCTATGTACATATAATCATAACCTACATTTTAGAAACAATTTTCTTTATTTATAGTGCACAATAACTAGTGTGGCCCCAACCGTTAGAGCGATGATTAAAAGATCTTTAGAACTTGGATTCATTCAGAGACGTGCTGGGCTTATCACAAAATGCAATGTTGCTGAAAGAATTCGAGCCAGAAGGAGGGAAATAGATAGAGAGCAAAGACAGCAGAGTAAGATTGCTAAAAAAAGAGCGGCTAAGGTAAAGAGAAAAAAAAATAGAAAAAACAAATATAGAGCTCCCAGTAAGCCAAAACGTAAGAAACGTGGAAAAGCCGCTAATTTAAAGCAAAGTCAGAGTTTCTCAGTGGCGCCAAAAACTGCAAAGAAGCGCAAGCCTCCAGGACCAAAAGGTAAGAAGCGCAATAAACGTGGATTACCTCCAAAAAAAGGTGCTAATCTGAAGAGAAAACCAGCAAAGAAGCGCGAAGCTAAAAAGCGTAAAGCTAAGCGCGCTAAAAAAGGTAAAAAGTAAGAAAAAGAAAGCCAAAAGGTAGGTTTAATTATTGTATTTCAAATAGAGATTTTGGTAAATTATAAAATAAATTATTTACTTGTTCCAAAGACAGTACCCACCCACCCAGCAGTTCAAAACTATGACATCTAAGATAAGAGACCATGAGAGGTAGGTGACTTCAAACTTCCCACACTTATACACTTGAAAACTTAAATAGTTGTTCCAAAAATTGACAAACCAACGCAATTTATTCGATTCACTATGAAAGATGAAACTTCTTGATTTAACAAATTTGTTAGTATAAATAATTATTTACTCGTAAACTTTATGTATAAATTTAAGGAGTATTTTTACTACTTAGTGCACACTTAAGTCAAATAAATATTAAGTAGGCGTTATTGGACTATGAAGTATTACTAAAATCCAGATAATGTCACTTAAGGGTCAATTTGAAACTTAAATATTTACCATATAATTTACTTCAATTCTTCTTATGAGGGAGTGCTGATATCATGTCAATATCACTTCTATAAGACCACTAGGAATAACCCATATATATCATTAGAAAACAATCTGGCTTTCAGTACAAAAGATCTCAAAGTCGTAGTGTTAGTCCCCTCCTCATAATACTTAATAAGTATACATTGATATAAAAATATTTAAGGCTTAGTAGTCATACTATTAAATAATTTTAGATCACCTCTTGTTCATTCCTTGATTTCGTGAGTATGAAATATATAGAAGTCACTTATTTTGGAGTATATTATATAAACACATAAAACCCGACCAATATTATAAATTTATTAACTAATTTATTTCAAACGTGTTTTTACAGAGTAAATGGGCATGGGTGGACGTTACTGTAGTGAAAAATGAACTGCGCAAGGGTAAGATGAACTAATATTAACCGTACATAAATTTGAACACATAATTTTTGATTTTGCTTTATGTAGACTTTCCAAGAATCTAATTCATGGTCAAAACCTAGTTATTACACAAACAAATCGTGGGCCAACTAACTTGCTGAAGATGGATTTGTGGTTTATAGTTATGTAGTTGTCCACGTATTTTCACAAAATCCATCATTAGAAATGGTAAATATCCTTGGTATTCATCTATTAATATATCTCCAAAACTCGGTCCATCGGATTAATACTTATAGTGTTGAAATGCGTTTTTCTAATAACTAAAGAGGATTAACTAGCTTGAAAACTTTCGGTGACAAAATAACGATAATACGTTTTAATAAGATATGCTTGCTAACACCAACATCTTAATTCGTTTATACGAAGGGTCTATGTACTCCTGTTCTATGGAATTAAAGGGGCTTAAGGATGTTACAAGTTTTTTGTCATATTTGAGATGGCGAGAGATGGTTGGCATCAGCTTTACTTTGGAGACTGAGAATATCTGCTTTATTGTACTCCACAGTGCTGTCGCATTACAACAATTGACGAAAATATGTTGTTAATGTTTTGTCTTTTGTCCTCGCAAATACCACATCCATGAAATATTTTTAAAGAAGGCCTGCGTTTTGCTTTGCTGATATATTGATATGGATCTTTTGACTCAACTGCTTAGTGTACATAATTTAATGTACCCGAAGCATACATATTCAACTCATCTTCAGTTATCTGAGTAAGTAAACCTAGTTAATTGTTCCCACTGATTTGAATATAGACGCCTTGAATCCTTAATCAAACTGAATGATGTGTTAAAACCTAAACAGTTTACTGAATACCCAGTTAAGGTGCCATATCCGAACGGTTGGAGCTGATTGGAATACTGTTGTTGTATACATTTTCAATTTTTGATATGTTCCAATTATATATCTGCTATTATTAGAGCGAACCGTATAAGCACATAACGTAAAATTTCGTATGCGGAAAATGCCTCAAAAAGTAGTCAATCCCTAAAAATCTTTTTTGGATTTCAAATTTGGATTTAAGAAAAATGTAAACACAAATGAAAACAACCTTTTTTTTTTTATAATATGTTTTTTTTTTGGTTTTATAAAAAAATTTAAAAAAAAAAATTATTGTGTCTATATTTTTTATGAGGCAGGAAGTGATTTGTGGCTTCTATAATATTCATACATTTCTAGTAGATTAAAACGGCAGACTTATTATAGTTTTTGTATTGACAATTATTTATTGTTTTTCGACTTTTAGACCGCCTACGATAGCATAATCGAAATGGATTAATACAAAGTCATGAGAAAGTTAGGTATCATTAATAAACTGACGCAACTATTTAGGAATTGCTATCCAAATCAATTAATATCTTTAAGGGACCATGACAAAAGATTAGTCTTGTGCTTCTTTGGAGAAAGTAATTTAAGACTCTTATATTTTATATTGTTCCAGATTTGTAAGGTAACACAAAGATTTTATAAAAGATTCATTCAGCACAGAAAGAACTCAGCGCCAGTTTGCATGATATCACCGATATGCAAAAATTGTTTAGGTGGTTTCCTGAAGCACACCATCTGTCTAGCTCGTTTGCTTTGCAATTGCCGAAAATATTCCTATGACCAAGAACCCAGATAAGAAAAATATTGAAATTTTCGACGTAACAGCTCGAAAAATTTAAAACAAAATCTTATTTAGAGTTGTGTAGCAGTCTAGCTCTAGTTTCCTTTATGACAATAATGTGTACCTGGAGGCTTATAGTAAGCGGATATATTTAGCCCTTTTGAGAAAACTTCACTTGCTATGCTTCAAGTTTATTGCATAATATAATATAGTTACCGTAATTTATTTTCTTATAGAGCACCAAATCTATATCTTCTTTACCTGCTTCATTGTCATTTGGCTTTAATTGATCATTTTTACGAGCTTTAGTGTTTTTCTTTTGGAAAGTCGCATATTCATTTTCAGAAAAAAATTAACGGAAATTGATTGATTACGAAGTGTGTCTCATTTCATGGAAGAGAAGTTAAGAAATTTAATAAAAACTCGCTTACTAACTTAAGTATTTTCAATTCACTTCCATATCCGTTTCCGTTTCTATTTTCGTCATGCTAGCAAATAGTAGATATCATACCTAATTCCTCAGGAGCTACTCTGCCAATTATTTATACACACACACATAATGGCCTCACAATTGCAAACAAACAAGCAAATACATTTAACAGTTTCGAATCAGTAGCCCCTTTGCCTTTCCATTTCCGAGCACCAGTTTCCTTTATTTTCTATTAATTCTGCGATACTTGCTGAAGTGCTGAAAGGCATGAGTCCGAACGGGAGCAGATTAATCAAACAGGTGAAATGCGTAAAATGCGAGGAATTCTGTTTATGCTCCTTTGTTAAGACTCAATTCTTCTTCACACCGCAGAGGATGGATAGGTAAAAAATAGCTGTTTAGGTTTGCACTCGTACCCGTGGCTCGTAAAATAGAGAAATTATTTTGTGTTGCTAAGATAAATAAAAAAATTAATGAAATTACTTAGTAGTTTTATTTATTTTGTGTTTATTTTTTTTTTTTTGTTTTATTTATGTGTGACTCTTATTTTACTCATGTTAGTCTGTAGTTTTTCATTTTACCACTTACCGATTTATCATAGAGCATATCAACCCGACACAAAATTACGGCCTCGGCCTGACCAGTGCGTACTGTGATGTTCCGTAACAAGCCGTAGTCGAATTGTGGATCCGGTGGCTGTTGCTGTTGTGTGTATTGCGGATTCGGTTCCGTTTCCATTTCAATTCTTGACTCATCGATGATTGACAGGCTCTTGAAGGTGTGATTTGCAGCTTCAAGTGGTGCTACAAGTGTTGTGAAGTGCTGTTGATTATTATTTCTGTTGCTGTAATTGTTGTTATTGTTGCTGCTGTTCTTGAATTTATTAATAAATAACAAAAGAGGTTGAGCTTCAGTTTGTTGTTGCTGCTGTTGTTGCTGCTGTTGCTGCTGTGGTATTTCTAAGTTTTGGTCTGTTTGCGGTGGTACAATTGCAGCGGAAGTTTCAAGTCCTGTAAAGGAAAACGTACAAAAAATTTTAGTTAAAATATCGAATTGTGTAAATATACAAATTTTAAAATTATTGCTAAAATTCGTTAGAGAAATAAATCAAAGTTAAATAAGCAAGAATGTCTGCTTAATGAGTGAGAAGCATTTCTATATTATAACTACGCTATTTTTCATATTGATGAGCATAACGAACTCATTAAGGCTTGCAATCTCAAAGGAGGAAGCTTAAGCATTGGATGAAAAATAAATATAAATACATTTTGTAAAGGTTTCAGCTCACTTCCATTTATATTTCAAGGTTCTCTTATTGATGATGATTGCCATAACGAGTTGCGTGGCTTAGAATTGATTCCAGTTTGAGGATATAAGTTTGTTTATTGATGATAGTAAATTGAAAACGAAAATTTCCGAAAATTTAATTGACGAAAATAATATAAGGTTGCCGGCAGATGACTACACCAGTCATTGCCGTAATTTTATAGCCAAAATATATATGAAATGTAACTTAATTATTATATACAAATAAAAAAAATTACAAAATATCAATACAAGGGTATATGATTGGAGTGAAGACCCTTCCTACTCATGAAATTAAAGGACATTAATGATAGCATGAGTGGAACATTAACTGAAAAGAAGAGAGTAACAGCGTTGTATGCTTTTAATGGAACGAGCACGGCGACATTGATAAATATTTTGTGCAATCCAAAGACCCTAACTGAATAGAAGTTATTTAATCTTACATATTAATCAGTATTATAATGATTCCCGTTTATAATTTTTCTTTATGCGACGGAAATAGACCAAGACCAAAATATGAAAGGCACACAAAATATAACAAGCTATCAACAGCTGTCTCTATATAGAACCAATATTTTGCTATACATATAGATCCAAGTTTTTATAATGGTAACATATTCTATGTTAATCTTACAGGTATTTTATTAACAGTCTCAGGTTTATTCTATTAAAAAATTATGCTTTGCCGTATTTATAAAGATGAATTAAGTTAACCAACTCATACCTTGATATAACTTCAAGTCACAAAATTAACTGAATGATCTAGTCCTTGCAAGATTCAGCTTTAAGTCATTGCTTTTAATTGCAGGTCATGTCAGGTCATAGTAGTCCACCAAAGTTTTCGCAGTTAACTTCTAAGAGAACTTTAATGCTTGATTAACCATGTCGTTACATATAGAATTATTTTTTCATATTATAAAAAAGTTAACTTAAAAGTAGAGCTAAATGATGCGGATTTCAGTCTACAAAACAGTGTACCAGTCGCAGAATTATGGTATTGAGCTCAAAGAGTTCTAAGCTAATTGGTTTTTTAATTTGAGAATGATTACTATTCTATCAGATCACGTTTTATGCTAAACCGAGAATACCAATGTTCAATTTAGTAAATCTTTTTATCATTGATCTCTAGATCTAGATGTGAAGAACTAATCTAAAAATAATAATAAAAATAATAGACTACACTCATTGTTAACAGAGTGCTGTCTAAGTGCGCTTAAAATTGCAGGCTTTTTGATATGAGACCGCAAGGATGTAAGTCCCAGATATGATAGTTTCACTATCACCTCTAGAGCTGTTGTGAAAGAGATATGTATAGCACCTATTATGGTTATACATAGTATGTATAGGTTATGCAGTATATCAGTCTGCAGAGTTTATAGCATTGAGAGTAATTTTTTGTCTATAATTTCACTAAACAAGGACTGCACAAAATCAAATCTGTCTGTTTATTCCAGAGAAGTGTCTCACCGGAGACACTTCTACAAGCCCAAATGACTCGATTCGATTTGTTAATTACGTTGTAAGTGACAAGAAAATATTATAGTAGAGTGGAAGCATTTATAATGCTCAAATTCCAAATTCCAATCGTCGAAATTTTAATAAATTAACTAAAATTTTTGTTGTTGTGTTTTCATTTCTATTCGAACCCTTCTTACTTATAAAATTAATAATTTTTTTGTATTTCACGCAGGAAGTATCGCTTAAATTTTTTTAAAATTATTTTATTGTATATTAAACTCACTTTAAAGGATATAAAAGGATATTGACTTAATGTACAGTTTTTATCTTTTTGAATTTTAAAAGATTGTGACAGGTTTATTGTATGTCAATGTAGATTTAACATTCATGAGATTTTTATTAACAAAAAGTAGAATGTTTTATATGAACATTTTCGCAATGTGAATTTAAGAAATGCAAAGCAAAGTTAGGTTTTAAAAATTGTGGTCCATTTTGTCAGTAATTGACTTGTTTGTCTTGAAAAGGATGAATGCTTTCAAATATCTGAAGCAGGAACTTGTGGAAGGTATCCTTAAGCACCAAAATCGATCATAAATAACATGAAAAAAAAAAAATTATATTATTAATTTTACATATATAATATATAAGCATTTCAAGAGAAAGTGTCTTAAACTATGAGTGGACATTATTGTAAAAGTTACAACTGAAGTTGTTTTTTAACACCGAAAGGGCGTCACGGGGGAATTCTGAATATTTTCACAAAAATTGTAAAATAAAAATATTTAAAAGTAGTTGAGTACTTGTTATATGAGTTATATGTATAGTAAATTGTAAATAATGAAATGTGAAAATATAGAAAAAAATATTTGTACACAATTTTATCACAAAATTTTTACTTTTTTATTCATTTTGAAGTTAGACTCTTCAAATGGTGCCTTTTAGGATAAATAAAAAAGGCGAAAAGGACCAAAAATTCAATGAAATTGTGAAAATATTTTTGCTTCGAAAGTCGTTAGTTTGTCAGAAAATCAGAGAGAATTTATTTTAGTTTTATTAGTTGCAATTTTTGCATGACTTTATTCAGGTTTTAGTATTTGAAAATCAATTTCGAAATATTTGGCGCTTTTTCCATTTTATTTTTGCTATTACCGAGTACTTCCATTGAGCTTATATGGTACGCTGTAAGGACTCGTTTTTGTCTTCCATTAATAAAGCGACTGCTGCGGATAATACCTGGTAAAAAATTTTATAATATCGCTCGATGAATGAGGTTTTTTTCTGTGCTGTGCGATTAGTTTGATTTTCTGCTATTCACAACAAATTATTTATATAAAATATGAATATCTTTTTGTTTGGAATTAAACACAAAACATTTTTTATATCACTAATAACACTGATATATAGCCAAACGAAATCAATGACTGAGGTTTAGAGTCTTTTTTTTTGAAAAAAATTCTATTCATATTCTATTCTATATTCTATTTTTACATGGCAAAAATATAACTATAAGGATTGTTGAAAAAATTTCAATTTTTGTTCAATTTTTGTTCAATTTTTGTTCAATTTTTATTAAATTCAATGAAAATACCTTTACCTTCACAATAAAAACAAAAATGGGAATATACTGTCAAGTACTGGGTTGGTTTGATATTTTGCATTTTATTAAATATCATTGTGATGTTCGTTGGATTGAGGATTTCAAAACAGCGATATATCGCATGCAAAATATACGTGACGAAGTTTCCAGTGCCAAATAAATTCTCAATGTTGTTGGGAAGGCAAATAATGCTGCATAGCAACGTACTTTGATATACATAATATTATGCATATATACTGCATATTAGTATATATATATATATATACAACAACACGTCTACAATGCTAGCTACATATGGACTAAATAAGTTCCGGAAATGTTCAAAACATTATTGGAGTCATGGCTGCAACTATTATACAAAATTTGCATAAGTTTTAGAGTAGAAAGAAGTTAGATTTGGCTAAGTCTTGGATTTAGTATGCTTTACTTGTTTACTAGTGTTTTTAATTGGTTATGGATTTCGTTCTTCTAATTTTTAATTCATTTAATTCTATTTTTACAAATTATATATATTTAAATTCTTTTATGGTAGTTAGTTTCATAGGAGCATTACATGATTACGTATATTAGATTGCATTGATTTGACTCGTTGTAAGCTACACATAGACATATTAGTCGCTGCCAGTAGTGAATCTATTGGTCGATAGCTATAATATCCTTATTATTGGCTAGCTATAGTCTACCTATTGGTAGCTAACTATAGTCGATCGATTGGTTGCTTGCAATAATAGAACTATTGGACACTAGCTATAGTATTAGTGGTAAGCTATAATAGACCTATTGGTCACTAGCTATAATAGACCTATTGATCGCTAACTATAATAGACTTATTGGTCACTAGGTATAATACGTATGACCTACTGGTCATTAGTTATAGCAGACCTATTGGTCACTAACTATAGTGGAGCTAATGGTAGCTAGCTATAATTAACCTAATGATCGCTAGCTGGCTATAGTAGACCTACTGATTGCTAGATACAATAAACCTAGTGGTCGCTCTCTAGAAATTCTCTAGAAATTGACACACCAGTATGCAGGTTTTTTGAAGATTGCATTTATGCGAACCTAAGGAGTGTTTCAGAAATGATAAGCAGTATAAGCAGTCTTGATTGAATAATGTGGCAAATGCAGCAGCAGTTATTGAACTGGGCATTAAAATAAAGACAATAGAAGCTTTATAAATCAAGGTTAGCACTTCGTTAAGGTTTGATGTATTTGGAAATTTAATCTAAAATATTAATGATTTGTGGAACGTTGCATTACTGCAAATGGACTTATACTTCGTTAACGTTTAACATGTTTGGAAATGTAATCCAAATACATGGTGTGATGGATGGTGTCTTAACTGCGTAATTTCGTCTGAAGATTTAGTCCAACACATTCGAAAACTTCAGTTTGTCTTGAGAAATTTAAATACTTTTTTGTCTTTATTTTGGTTTGCAAAGTGCATTTTCCTTAAATAGCTTGAATAATGCTGGAGACACATCACATCATCGCTAACTACAATGACTCATGTTTACAATCTTTGTTTCTAGATGCATGACCCTTGGTAAAAACACACGTTCTTTTATTTTTTGTTGGTAAATCTGTATAGTTTTTACCAGACTACAAGGTTTCTGACAAATCACAAAAGTAAAACTTGTTTTATTCATATTAATTGTTGCTAAACCTCATCCTTGATCCCTTTAAGTCGATGAATTATTAAATTTTTCTTCCAAAAAAAAAAAAAAAATACACAAAACGACATAAAATTTGAAATAAAATCAATCAGAAGTGTGTGAATTTTATTCTCAAAGTTTTCCACACTCAACATCAAGTGGCTGCATAGATAAGTCGAGATATCTGCAAAAAGAGGGATTCAAATAACAAAACACAAATCCTCTTGCATGTTTGAAAAAATTTGTGCTAATTTCTCGTACCCATGGAATTGCCTCTGAAGATACTCGAAATGGAATGCATAATTCACATATACGAGTATGGCAGGAGCATCGGAAAAATTGCAATGCGATTTGTCAACATTTTCAAAGTATTAAGCCATGCAAGAGATGAGCTCCGCAAAAAGTTCGAGCAAAGTTCTTCGAGTGTGCATAAGTGAAAATGAAATGAATTCATTGAAAAAGTATCCAAAAGTGGAAGCAGTGCACCCACTTGATGTTGTCAAATGATTCAAATGAATGCGAGCAAACAACTCGAAAGAAACTTTTCATATTGACAATATTTGCTACGTATTTGATGTGTAGAAAAAAAAAGGAAAATGGAAAAAAGGACATTTTTTAATGTAAGTGAAAAACACAAAATTTATTTTATTATTTTATTTTTTTTTGATTGAAATAAATGGAAATTGAAATTTTTTCACAAGTTGGTAATCACTTCTGTGAAAAGCTATATTTAACAGATTTTGTTTATTTATTTTTAGTGAATTTGCTAGGCAACTATTGCACTTGATGTAGTGCTGGATTGATGCTGCTTTGTTATGGTACGCATCCTTTGGCTTGAGCGGCACTGCATCCTTAGGACAAGGTCATCGCAAGCAAACTTTTCTATTGGTAAGCACTCGTGTAATATTGTTTACATATTCCACATTTTTTGTGTTTGTGTTTGGCAATTTTGTGCCAAAGCACTCTCAAGTGAGTTGGTAAGTGTGCAGGACTCGGAGGAACAAGTGATTTTTTCTTTATTTGTCGTCTTCTGAATTCAAGATACAAAATTGTGCATTTTAGATTTTGTAAAAGTTTTCAGTTTATAAATAAAGTTTTCACATAAGCAGACTGTGAACATAGCAAGTACACACTTTGGTTCATAAAAGATTCAATATTTGGACTGTGAGCGCTTCAACGAAAAATTGCCTCAAGTCCTGTCAAAAATCAAAAGAGACGCATTTAAATTCTGAAATCTTGTATGAGAAGTAGTGAGTACTGATAAAAAAATTAAAAAAAATTTACTTTTGAACAGATATTAGAGACACTAAACCCTGTTTGTGTTTAACTTATTAAATTTTTAAACATTATCCTTTTGGCATCATTGTAAAAAGAAGGGTATATAAAGATTTTTAAGTTGACTTGAGGATGCTAGACTTGGGATGCATAAGAAACATTTAAAAATTATATAAATTTTCTTAAACAGAAAATCAATACAAATTGAAGTGAGGTCATTTATTGACAATTACGAGATTCAGTAAGATAATTTCCACACTTATGTACGGACGCATATATGGATGAATACCTTCATATTAAATAGCCAATGCTAGAGTTGCAATCTTCTGACAAAGTAACAGAAAAATAAGGAACTTTTCTCCAATTAGTATTTGACCTCAACGAAATGCCTATCAATAAATAAGTAATTTGTCATTTATTAAACAAAAATCAGAAAGACTTACCGGTTGTAAAAAATTGTTTCAAAATTATTGCATAGAGAGGTTTCGAGTAGTAGTGAATTATAACAACAAAATTTTTTTTATTTTTTTTTACAACTGTTTCGTGCATTGCCAAATATTTGTTCTCAGTGATCTGGGAACTGATAAATAATTTTATGAGACTGCAAATACTAAGTGTTGAACTCGTATAATGCCAAATTTGCAGCTCAAAGTCAGGATTCATTAGCTAACTGACCCAAAGCCTTACTTGACTCTATATTAAATGCCACAGTTTTTATTGAAGTAAAATATTCACTACCGTCATAATTGACTACATAATTGGTATCTCTGAAGGGACACAACTTACTTCTCAAATCCTATAAAGCATATGATTACTGTAGCTAAAAAAATTCATTCAGGAAAATGTATATTAGAAAAGCCAACTCCGAAAAGCCATCGCTCGCTAGGGAAACACGTAACCGAGGCAATTTTAAACTTTTATGAATGCAATGAAAACTGCAAATAATGTCTGAGAAAAAAGACTGCATATCCATAAAAATTGATGGAAAAACGAGACAATTATAAAAACGGCTTATTCTAAGTAATCTGAAGCAGCTACATACTCTTTTCAAACTGAACCATCAGAACCTCGGATATAGTTTATCTGAATTTTCATCTTTATGTATTTGGAACAAAATAGTAAATAAAAATGCACTTACTGCATGCACTATAGAGGCTGAACTTCGCAAATACATTTCTTTTTTTCAAAGTAATTTTCTACAATTTCCAAAGCGGTTTTCTAGTGCCAAACAATTCATAATGAATTGCCAAACTTTACAGAACAGTAATATTAGGACAGTTTGACATTTTCAGCTGTCAAACCATAGTTATCGATAGTGATAGTTCTTATGTCGCTTAAAAACATCCATACAGCTATTAGGCGATTTGTGAAGACTATGGTTAAACTTAATAGAGACACGTAACAATGTCCAAATCGACTTCACCGACTATTTCGGTTAAGGTTTTAATGATTTTTTTTTCTTTTTCGTACTGCTATGGTCTATCATTTAAATATATTTAAGAAAATATTAAAATATAGCGGTGTTTAGTGTTGACCTGGCGGACCTCTTGCACTTCCTTTTTTTAAACTTTTTTCACATATTTTCTTCTCCCTAAGGAACTAAAAAAATTACATCATCAAACTGATCAATTAAAAAATTTTTCCCCTACAGTTGAAGACTGAACTAAAATTTTTTTTCATATAAAAATAAACTTTATTATGTTTTAATTAAACTTTATAGCACAATATAACTGATGAATTTTGAATTTTGTATTCATTTAAAACCAATTAATTTATAGTAATTAACCAAATTAGAAAATTTTGTTTAAAACAATTTAAAATATATTCGAAAAAGTGATCCAGATTTTTTTCATAAACTAATATATATTTTTCCCCACTTTCAGGAAAGTTTTTTGATTTCAACTACCCTTAACCATCGAAACTCTGAACTCCTTGGAACCTCAACGAAATGTTCCATTTTCATATTTATTTCTCCTTGACGAATACAAGATGAATAGTTTGAGTTGGATTCACGCCTTATTATAATCAGGTACTTTCCATTAACGCTTTTGCCTGTCAAAAATAATTCGAAGTGAAATACACAAATAAAATACCATTATGTTAACTGAATTGTTACTTCTTACCACGCCTCCTCTATTTACATCTTCATTATCAACCAAGGAAATGGGTTCCACCATACTAATATAAGTAATGTGACGTGACCAATGATTTTGCAGAGATATACGAGAAAAATACTGAATATGCACAAGAATACAATAAACGATTATTAGCTTACCCACAAAATTCTTGATCGAGTGTATATCACACCTATTATCCACTCATTAATTTAGTTTAATAGGTTAAATTTGAGATCTATTAGAAAAATTGTTACAAGTTTTAATCTAAATAATAATGTAAATAGAAGATAATTTCAATTTACCCCCAAATTTTTAAAATTTAGCTTTCGCCGGAATTATTTTCTTTAGTTTTTTAACATCTGGTGGTAATATTATCCGGCTTATTTGGAATCTCAAATTTAATTACAGCGTCCTTAATATAAGACTTTAAGATTCGGGTTTCTTATGTCTTTTTCGTTTCTTCCTATGCTTTTCACGAGCTTCTTCGTTTCCATCGTCTTTCTCCTTAATTTCACAATTCAAAGGGAGTCTTTGAGGCATATTCACAACAAGAATACGTGACTCTCCATTTGCATCCCGTAATCGTAAAACTCGTTTTTCGATAGCTGCATTTTCGTCACTGATTGAATCATTTTCCTTAATCTGCATGACATTCAGGTCTTTAAGGTATCCAATACATTCAGTACTGTATGGGACATTTTGTCTAGAGCAACGTGAAAGATTTTCGGGATTTGTCTTTTCACATGAACTACGTTCAGTAACTACAATCGGACATTTCCCAATCACTTTTGGTGATTTGCACTGGCAGTACTGATTCTTATTACTTTCAACTTCCGATGCAATGCGTTTGCGTCCTTTCTTTGCAGGATTAGTATTGTCAACCCATTTAAATTCATGGTCTTGTGAATCTTCAAAAAAATCACTTCGGCAATAAATTGCCTCAGGAGATGTGATTGTCGAACGTATCTTACCTTCTTCATTTGCAGGACAATGGTTTTCAATCAACTCACTTTGGTCTGAGTCAGAATCGCTCCACGCCATGTTCTCGTTATTGTTTCTTCTAAACCATTTGAAAAGAGAAAAGAATCTCCAACGCTTTTTTTCAGCATCTTCTTTTTGCAATCTTTTAAGCGCTCTCTCAAAGTTCTTGTTGATGTTGTTTGGATGTTTTTTCTTATACTCACGTATCTCGTTCTTCAAAACTCTTACAAGTTCGTTTTGGCGTTTGCGATGACGCCGTAGTTCCTCTTTGAAACCTTTTAACATCCTTTTTTCCGAATCACCATAGTGGTCCTTAATATTTCGTCCCATTTCTACGAATATTTTTTGCCGAAATTTTTTACTAAATAATTTTGTGATCAGAAATAAAAAATACAACAGAAAAATTTTGTAACCGACTCTTCTTAAGAAAATTTTTAAATGATTTACAATGGATTTTAGTTTGAGTCGTAAAAAAATCACGCCTACTTTGTGAAATTATTCGAAAGTAGAAGAATATTAGATAAATGACATTGACTTGATTTAAACAGGAAAGTTTTTATTCACATTAAAAGTTTCTAATTTTTTTGTGTGCCTTTGGTATTAGGAAACAGTAAAATGATTGAAGAGGACTTTATGAATAATCTCGGGTGAACGGAGTAATGGTTTTGGATTTATGGGATAATTTTAAGGTATTGTAAATCAAATAGTAGAGCACCGCAGTTCCATTGAATTTTAAGGTGCTCTAAGGTTCAGTTGTGCGCTACTATAATATATATTGTTATATTAATCGATGTGTGTAGGATTTACATTGATAAATGACAGATGTAGAGTAGTTCCTTCGAAGTCAATCATGAACATCTTCATAATAACACCAGATATGATATTATATGAGATCATATCATATCACATGATATGATATGGATCGAAAATGTAATTAGAACACCGTACATCATGATAAAGCAAAGTGATGTAATAGATTTAACTTTAGAATGTTATAGTTTTGGGTTATTCACGATATATTAATTTTGTTTAAAAAATCTTAATGAGACATCTCATAGAAGACTTTTAACATGTCGTTCAGATATCCTTCTGATATCGAGATTGATATTTTTGATGTTATTGTTCTTGAGTATATTATTTGAATATTATTGAACTTACAGATCGTTCTACTAAGATTAACTTGACTCATGCTTAATTCTATTATATTAAGGATTGTGCTAGACAAAAGCAGAAATATGATATCTAATATTATATCATTATACCTAAATATGTGTATATATACAAATAGTTGTGTTTACTGAGTTCGACGGCATTACTTTGAATGCATTGAGATTCATATATTGAACGATTGTTTGAAAAGGATTCAATACCCATGTTACTACGTCTATAACTCTTAATAATAAACCATTCTATTATTTCTGAAGTTTGTGATTAGATAAAAGCATGTGATTGAAGCATTTGATGTGTAGGTTTTATATATTTAATATATTTTGAAATTATTGAAAACTGTGCAATTTTTTAGTATAATTTTTGTTAGGAATTGTTTATTGTATATTATTTATTACTTTTACTACTAAAATCAATACAATTTTAATGTGTAAATCAATGTATGCCTTCTTGTGAAATGAATTCAAAACCATTTTCAATTGTATGAATATTAAATTTTCTTGACGGTCACAACTGAAGAAAAAACCATTAACAAAATCCACGATATTGTGAATTGGATGATCCAAAAATCAAATTAGGTAAGACAGCAGAGATGATAAACATACGATATGAACGTGTATCGAATATTTTACATGAATATTTGTGTATGAAAATAGTTCCGGCAGGCTGTATACAGCGTTTTTTCAAAATTGATCACAAAATCAAACAGCGAGTTCGTCATTTGAAGAATTGTTTGGAAATGGTAATGGACAATCTAGCTGACTGTGAGCGTAGACTAGTAACAATTGATGAAACATAGATCCATTACTACACACCAGAGAGAAAACAACAAGCCAGAGTATTGGTAGGGTCTGGAGATAGTGTTTCCCAAATGAAAACAAACTCAGCGAACTCGGTTGGAAAAGTTTCGGCTTCCGTATTTTGGAAGTCAATTTTCATAGACTATTTGGAAAAAGGAAAAACAATAACAGCATATTATTGGACCGATTGTATGAGGACATCAAGAAAAAGTGATAACATTTCTCGAAAAACAAAATTTTGTTTTTTTAGGATAATGCAGATTTAAATGAATTATGGTAGGAATTGCTTACTAACCCTTTGTATTTTCCAGACTTGGTTCCTAGTGACTATTACCTGTTTCCAAACTTGAAGATATAGCGGAGAGATTTGCATTAAATAATGAACTAGAATGGGAAACTGAAGAATATTTTGGAGGACTTGATAAATCGCATAATTAAAAAGGTAATCAAATCTTGAAATATCGTTGGACTCGGTGTGTTGATCTAAAAGTGGACTATATTGAAGCATAAATTACAATTAAAAAAAAATGCATTTTCATTATTTAGGTCGGGTATTTATTAATCCTAGGTGGAGTATATGACTATGCGCTCAACTTTGTGCATAAGTTTAATAAAAAAAATAATTATGATCTCTTATTAATCTTATATAAATCTTTTATAGTCTGTATTTTAGTAAATTGCATTAATACTTTTTCTCTTTAAAAGAAGAATATACTTGCACACAAATTTTTTCTGATGCCATTCCACTTCAAAGTCCAATGAACATTTCCGACTCTATTTAGCATTCTTTTCTTCTAGTTCAAATATTTTATCTTTTCATACTTCCGTTTTCGGAATTCACTGAATTGTCTTAGTCGTGTTTACTTTGGAAACACTTGTAAAAGCAAAATTATTTGATGGAATTTGTTCTGAAATCAATTGTTTCACATCGCAGCAGAACAAAACAATTTAATTACAAAAATCTCGAGTTCTATTGTTTTATTTGCCGAGGATTTGTGTTGTTAGTACATAAAATGAAATACGGGATAAAATTGCCATTTTAAAACATAATCCTTGAAATCCTGTTGTAAGCTTTTCCTATTACTTCTCTTTGTTTTATTTTTGCTTTGAACAAAAAAACAATAAAAATGAAATGAATTTGAATATCTTTTTGTTAACAGATTTGGTCATGAAAAACAATTTAGTATTAAGTGATTTGAATGGGAAATGACATCCGGTCAAATACGATTTTTTTGGAAATTACGAATGGGAGACAATAATTTTCAGTTACTCGGTGCTGTGAGTAAATTTGAGCAATAGGATTTCAATTTGAAATATTGACGATAGTTTTTAGTAAGCAAAATTTAAAAATTTATTTTTTTGTTGCAACTAAAATAAATGCACAAAGCTTTTTGCGGGTCTTCGATTTTAACCTTGTTTTAAAAATTAACTAAATTCGTTATTAATTAAAAATGCTGATAAGATTCAATTTAGTTTCAGATCGTGACTATCAAACAAATTTCAAACTTGTTCCGCTGACAGCAGAAAATACTATTAAAAACATTTTATAATTTCGTCCCGGCCTTTAAGGACTTAGACTTAGAGCTCTCAAGTCAGACGTAGTAAATTTTACACTTGTTCCGCTGAGAGCAGAAAATACAATTACAAATATATTGTACTATCGTCCCTGCCTTTCAGGACTTAGACTTAGAGTTCTCAAGTCAGACAGAGTAACTAGCCTCAGTATTACTTCTCCGTTTTTTTTAAAAAAGATTTAAAATATATTGTAGTATATAAATATGAGTACCATGGATCTTGACAGCCCGAGTGCTTATTTTCTTTTTACACAACATTCCCAAACATGTTAACCATAATCACTTTCTGAGAGCTGCAGAACACATATGGAAAACTATAATAAACTGCTAAAAATACAAACTAATATATCTAAATTAAGTTGTATTAAGATTGATAACTCTATTGGACAGACCCACATATAAGTCATATAGCTCACCACGTGGCTTTGTTGATGCGTCATTGGCCAGTAAGCACTTGTGTTGAAAATTTGAAAATCATTTTCAAACCAAAAGTGCAGAAGTTGCGAAACACTTCCTGCGCATATGCCCAGCCTTACGGAAACTTACGTGTTTCCAATATTGGATTTCATGAGCTTAGAAGCCATGGTTATTAAAAAAATAATAATATGCTTTATTAACTGCGCAGGTAGCTTTCAAGTTTATCATAACCATGTTTTTGGTAACAAAACGATACATACTCTTCCGCCGATATATACAATCAAACAATTAACTGCTTAGTCTAAGTCAACGAATGTACTAAGATGTCGAACGCATTTATCTTTTACTACATGTAGCTCGTAAATTGATATGATTTGATACATCAAAGAGATGTTAACAAAAGATAGCAAAAGATAATATTTAAAGTTTCAGACAAGTATCAAAATTTTTTCTGTTAATTTATACCATACACGATTTAATAGCCTTATGATCAAATATCTATATCTTGCTTCCCTTCGTCATCACCGATTTATATCTAAAGGCTTTGGAATAAATAGCTATCTCTTTCTTCCTCCCTACACCATAGCCTTACAACTGAAGTTTAAGACCTTGGAAGTTTAGCGTTATTTTATTCTTTCCTTCTAAGCCATAGATTTATATCTGAACCTTTACAATTTGGCAACTATATTTTTCTTCTCTTTCTACACTATCAATTTATATCTGAAGCCTTATAACTTGGCAACTATATTTTTTGTCTCTTCCTACACCAACAATTTATAACTGAAATCTTTTAATTAGATAGCTACCTCTTCCTTGCCACTGCATAAACTTACATCAAACGGCTAAGGACTAGGTTGATGTGCCTTTCTTTCTTTCTTCACCATAGAGATATATCTGAAGCTTTTAACAGTGTAATCAATGCTTTCCTTCTCAGAAAGAGATAACGTGCGTCATAGTTTGAAAAGTAGCTGCGTTTGAACGTTTCCATGGAATTGCCATTTAATTTATAATTTAGTTTAATTTAATTTTTTTTATTTCACTTTTTTTCTGCAGCAATTGCTGATTGAATCTGTTTTTAAGCAAATTATAGATTGTCATAAAATTTCAATCTTCAAGCGCCTGCTGAGCTTGACATTCCGTACAAAAGCGTGTAGCTCAGTTCACAGAACACAAAAATGGTTCATCAGCAAAAATACATGTAAAATAAAAACAAAACACAAAAAATAAAAACAAAAAACAAAAAAAAAATATAAATAATACAAAAAAAGAAAATATAACAAAAAGAAAAAAAAACAAAAGGAGAAGAAGCATAACGATTTCATTTTGAATTATTTCTGCTGTTGTTTATGTACTAAGCCGCCGCCACTGTGCCTGCAATGTTCGTTGCGATTGAGTTTGACAGTTGAGTACGTAGAAGTGATGCCACTCACACTCACACACTCACATTTACATTCA